TTTTCAAACAAAAGTATCAGTGAGAGGGGTGGCATTGTTTTACATTGTTAAGCGTTTCTTTAATGGAGTTTCTTGTTGGAATCTCTGCTTTCTGAATCAAGCTATTGGCCACATTGTTTTTATTGAAATATGTGAAGAAAATATGGTCTCATGTCAATATGCAGTTGGAAAAGGTAAAAGTTTTTAATAGTTTTTTCCCCCCCCAGATTATTATGGTGGTTCTTTTTTAGTTTTGTGAGAAACCTGTCTTACTATGCAGCCCGACTGTCATCCGGCATCTCACCTCTGTCTTCCCGTGTTGGGATTAGAGCTGTGCATCCATGCCTGCTTTAGCAATTCACTTTTTTTTTTTTTTGTCTTTTTGAGACCGGGTCTCCCTGTAGCCCCTGCTGGCTTGGAACTCACTATGTAGACCAGGCTGGCCTTGAACTCACAGAGATCCACCTGCCTCTGCCTCCCAAGTGCTGGGATTAAAGGAGTGTACCACCACACCACACCCAGTCCTCAGAAGTTCATTTAGCTACTGCACTTGACTTCTGTGAAAGCCAGTTTTTGAAGACTCTTTCCAGTGTGGAATTTGGACCTTGCATATGCCAGCATGCTTTGCATGAAAACCTGTGGGTACTTTTTGATTGCCACGGGTTTTGATCCATGCGTTATCTTGTGAACATGAATCGAATCAGGATTTGGGAAGTATCACTTAGTTGAGCTATGTAGGTTTCCTAAATGTTGACACATTTCATTACATGAGAAAGTTCTGAAACCAAATACAGAACAAACTGATTACAATCACCACTGGCCCCATCAGGAAAGATTGTTCTCACTGGGAAGCTTTCAGGTTGATAGTGAGGAACACACATTTCCAAAATTCTGATTTATTTATTATTTATTTATCTGAAAGATCAAGTTGTATTATTGTCCACCGATTTGTCAATTATTTTCCTTCAAGTGACAGGTCAATTTATTCATTTTTGTGACAATTTCTACCAAAAACACAAGTCTGAAGAACTAAAGCATGTCAATTGTTCCTTCAAAGAGGAATGCAGCTCCAAGAAAGGAATGAATAGTATGGCTCAGGCAAGTGGTCCCTTGAGATGAGCTTCAGGTTTCTGTTTGCCATGGAAATGCCACATGTGCACCTCTAGCTAGTCACATAACATATTAAAAAGATGTATACTCAGAGCTGAGATTTAATAAAATTAATTATTTCCACTGGCTCATAATGTTCATAAATAAAAATGCCTTAAACTGTGAATGTGTGGTGAGGAAGAAAGAACATGGCTTTTACTAGAGCTTGGCAGCCTGAGGTGGCTCACGGGGGGTTGGCAATTTTAGTCACCACCTTTGCAATCCCAGAGCAAATGTCCACACAGCAAAAAGAACAAATGATGATTCAAATATGTTTCTCATGGATCCAAGTCTCTTATGCTTCCCACTGTTCTGCAGCAGGGTCTCTTCCTGGGCCGCCTCCAGACCCTACCTGCCAGAGTACAAGCTGATGAGGGCAGACTTTACATATGTGTCCAGCACTCTCTATGGAGCCTGACACAATGCCTGCCCTAGGGTTTCTGCTCACTGCTTACTTTCCAGTGAATGGGTAAATGGAGGAAGTGAAGGAATGATCACCCTTATGCAGCTGAAGTCATTGTGGTTTATCAATGTGTACATGACCTTAGGATCTCACTGTGGAAGTGGCCAACCTGAGCTTAGCCAGTGTGGGTCACTAAAGCCTGTGCTCTTCCTATTCTCTACTGCCCTTCCCACTGGGCCATATATGTGCTATCCGTTTTTAACCTCTGTGAATTTTTTTTAATTGACATGGTAATTGTGTATTTATGGAGTACAGAGTAGTAAACTGATGAGTACAATGTATAATGATCAAATGAGGGTAATTAGCATTTCCAGTCCTTTAAACATGTGCCATTTCTTACTGTTGGAGCCTTCAGTCTTGTCTCATAGTTCTTTGCAAGATGCGTAATAACTTGTTATAAATTATAGTCACCTCACTGTGCTGTAGAGCACTAGAATTCTATTTTGGTACCTGTTATCTGACTTCCTTCTACCCTTGTCCTCTCTGCTTCCTAGTCTCTAGTTAGCCCTCTTTGCTTTGGTTTGAGCACAGCTTGGCTGCTCTATAACTCCTGTCGAAGCTCAGCCCCATTGTGAGGTATTAATGGGATGGAAACTCCTAGTAATTGCTTGACTTGGAAATGGCTGTGTGAATGCAGAGGAGTGTGAGCACAGGATTGTGTGTGTGTGTACACCTGTGCTTCTAGCAAGTACAAGGGAGCATGAGGCTTTGTGTGGGTGGCAGGCAGGACCACTGGGCATTTATGCTTCTGTGTGAGAGGAGGCTGGGGCAAGTGTCTGCTCACTGCACTTGACTCTCCTCCACTTCGTACAGGTCCACATGCCACCTGCATCATAAACTAGGGAACAAAAGACCAACACAGATTCTGTGTTATTTCCAGTGAGTTCACCTGCCTCTCATTCCATGAACTCCCTGAAGGATTGTTTTCTGAGTCAGCCTGGCCTGCCCACTCCTGAAGGCAAACAGGACTGTCCCTACTTGGCTTTTGCAAATTCTGGCCTGGTGACAATGCAGCCCCCCACCCCCCACCACTTTGCTTTGGCAGGTGTGAAATATTAATTGCCTCACTGGGGACTCTGCTTTTTCTGTCTGTCGTGTCTGACCAGAATATCATTCTCTCCTGCAAATATAATTATTGTGGTGGGGGTGGGAGACATGGGGATGCTGCTGGGTGGGAGGGGGAGCAGGCATGGGAGAGCTGTTGAGAGGGGGCCATGGCTTCTTTTTTTGTTAATCGCCTCTCGCCTGTCTGTTAATTAGGAGCTGTGCTTTGCTACATGCTGCGATATTTTGGTTAATTATGAAAGAGAAAAGGACAAATTTGTCATGTCTTTTGTTTTTGTTCCCCCAGTCTCTCAGTGACAGGGTGTGAAGGCTGATGGACTGCTCAGGCAACAGCGCCAGCACCAGATGCTGTCTCCCAAGAGTGACAGGGTCAGGGTCTGGAGCGGGTCACCCGGCAGACTGGTGGCTCTGGGCCATCTGAGTCAGGGTCTCAGGGTCCAATGAAGATTTTCATTCTTGGCTGTGATAAGGCTGCCAGGGAAGAGTCCTTACCCTTGGCATGAACAGGGGTGGAGCTCAGTCTGGCAAGCACATTTCTCTTCCTACCTTGATATCCAGGGTGGGGTCTAGCCTTGAGCAAATACTAATACCAAGGAAGCTGCATTTGAGATTCGCAGTTCAGCAGACAGGAAGCTGTGAGTCCTCTTCCAGCTCTGAGAGGAAGGGTGGCCATGTCCAGAGAATTAAGTATGTGTAGTACAGCACTCTGAGATTGGCAAGAGACACAGGACCCACTGCCTGGGGATGTGAAGGGATGGTCCATTCTCTGTGCTACCAGAGAACACCGAGGCCTATTTCAGGTCCTGATCTATACATTACACCCCACCCTAACTGGGTGAAAAGTTCCCATCTTTGAGCTCAGAGGTTCACAAAGTTTCTGCTGTGTGATTAATTTTATGTGTCAATTGGGCCAGGTTATGTTGTTCAAACACCAGTCTAAATGCTATTTGGAGGATAGTTTTTAGATTTGATTAGTTTTGATCACCAGTGGACTTTGGATAGAACAGATGACTGCCCTCATGGTCATTGAGTGCCCCCTGCCCAGTCAGTTGAAGGTCTTGAGAGCAAAGACTATGGTTTCCTGAAGAAGGGATTCTGCTTCAAAACTGCAACACAGAAATCATCGCTGTCTTTCACCTTCTGGTTTGGCCAGCAAACTTGCTGCTCACACAGATGCGCTGGCCAGCCTGTCACCCATCTTTAGTTTTCTCCCATTAGTTCTGTTTCTCTGGTGAACTATACATGACATAGACCTCACTGTAGCCCTTAGCCTCTGGCTGTGGTCTTGCCTTTCACTTCCTGTCTCCTGAACTAAAATGAGGATAGAAGCTTACCTGGGCCCTGCGGCCTGCAGCCTCTGCTCTGCCCAGCACAGGGCCAGCTTGTAATAGTCTGTAATATGTATTTGTTCCATATTGAACAAATTCATTTTGGAAACAAGAAAGACTTACATCCATGAACCAATTGAAAAACCATCCATGACAGCACAGACAGTTCCTGACTTATAAAGAGGTCGTGTTCCAAATACTCATCTAAGTGAGTTGTCTGGAGCTTTTTCCCATAACAAGGATATCAGTGTTGGCAAGGCTCCCAGGCCAGCTGCCAGAAACCTATTTAACCACAGTATAGATTAAGTATTGTGCATTTGCCATGAAAAATAGTAGAAAACAACACTCTTGCAAAGCTAGTAATTAAATGAGAAATGTGATAGTATTAGATAAAAATAGGTTAAAGAAAAAGAAACTCATTTTGAGCTTGGGAGTTTGAGGAAAAAAATGGTTAGAAACAGTTGGACAAGTAGAGAGACCAATGGAAAATCAGAACAGGCCTCCTAAGTATTTCAAGGGTTCTGGATGTCGTGGCATGAACTCAGTCCTCGTAGCTCAGGGTTTTGCCTCCCTCACTCCACTGCTGTGTGAAGATAGTTCTTGCTGATTTCAATGAAAGTTAGCCCCACTTGTTCACAAATGTGACAAGAATGAATAAAGAAGTCATGGGGTGCTTGGGCAAGAGCTGGAGAAAACCAGCTTAGAACCGAAAAGGGCATGCAGTGTCTTTGGGACGGCCTCAGGTGAACTTGACTGAGCCATAAAGGATGGTGGTAGTTGCCAACTCTGAAAGGTGTGAGAGAGAACAGGAAGAGATGGTAGAGCAACAGTTTCCCAGGCCGAGCACCAGCAGACGCTGTCATTCTGTTGGCGCTGAGGGATAAAGGGGGCAAGCCTTGGAGGGGGTGGAGGGTGCCGTGAACCAATCCCAACTGGGGACTGATCTTGCAAAGGCCTCTGGATGTAAAAATTCAAATGAGTGATGTGGTCAGCATGACCACAGATGCAGTGGAGTGTGGAGAGTGGAAAAATTGCTGAGATGAGTTGGGCCTGGCTTCTTGCTTAGGCTCCAGGAAATCAGAGTGACTCACAGCTAAGAGATGGGTCCAAGACAAATCCACAAGGAGCGAGGGAGCCTGGTGAGTTTGGGAAAAGAGAAATAACTCAAGGTATTGACTGGTGAGGTGGAGCATTTTAGATGGGGAGGTTAAGAATGGGAGGTTCTCGGAAGAACAAGGAGGAAACAGGATTTATTTTATTTTAAAAACGAAAACATGAGCTTAGCATCTTGTAGAATGCTCTGGTTTGGATCTGCAGTGTTTTCCCAAAGCCTATGTGTTAGAGACTTGATGTTATGGTTCAGTATGGGTTTAGCCTGAGTGAGGAGGTGGGTTTTTAGGAAGAATATGAAGTACCCACCTCATCCTGTCACATCAAGAGCGTGTGTGATGTGAATGTAACTTCTGCCTGGAGCAGTGAGCCCTTCAAATTCCTGAGAATAGAGCAGCCCAATGCCAGAAGAGTCTCGTGTCTCTGTCTACACATATCTTTTTACCTGGATACATTACATCTTTTTACCTGAATACATTATCTTTTTACCTGCACACACATATGTGTGCAGGTATGTGTCTGTAGTAGACATGAATGCAGAAACCAGAGGGGGATGTCAGGTATCCTCCTCTATGGCTCTTCACCTTATTTTTTGAGAGAGATCTTCTACTAAACCTGAAACTTGTGTTTTGGCTAGGCTGGTCAGAAAACTCCTTAGATCTTCTTGTCTCCACCTCACAGTGCTGAGGATATAGGCATTCAGGGTCATGCCTAACTTGTACGTGGGTGCTGGAGATTTGAACTCAGGTCCTCTTGCTTTCCTAGTTAATATTCTTACCCACGGAGCCATTTCCCTATCCCCACAAAAGACTTCTTATTCTGGAAAAAAATCACACATACTACCACCTCTAGATTCTCCACTAAAAGGTGCTATTTTCTTCCACAGTCTGTTTGTTTGAAGCAAGTCACTAAGTCTGGGCTGCATTCTAGGGGATGGAAATCAGGTCTTCCTCCTGGAAGAAAGGATATTGAAGAACTTGTGAAGCTACATTAGAACCTTGTAGTAATTGCTTTAAGGGAGATTATTGAGGCCACGTTTTCATCCCATTTTGGTGGGTTAGGTATATGGAAGATTGATTTTGCTGTGACAATAGACTGGACATATTTAAGAGGGAAGCAGAGAGCACTAGGGGTGTCCGGGAATAGACCCACTCCTATTTCTAGAGTGGGCCTGGAACGGAGTGTGAAGAGCCTGGTGGTGCTGTAGAGAAAGCGGTGAGAGTTACAGGAGAGGTGAAGCACAGGTATGGGAGGCGAAAGACTCAGTGGAATTTTTGACCATCTTCTGCAGGGAGGGAATCAGGAACTTATAGCTCTGAGAACTTTGTCTTGTTGCATGGCCCACTGACAGAGGAATGATCAGAGTGGAGATGCCCTCCCTTCCTCTTTAACAAGGGCTGTAGTTCTGAGCTGCAGTGGGAGTCTTTCGCAGCCCAGACAGGAGCTATTGCACCTTCCTCTTCAGGACTGCTGCTCAGCACAGCCCAACTTCCTGGTACACTGATGGTAGTCTATTCTTCTGCCCTCTCTCCTCCCCAGATCTGTCAGTCAGTCTTCAGCCACATTAGCTTTAAATCTGTGTTTGCCAGTGGCAGCCACAGACTGGGTCAGGAAGCTGAAATTCCAGCTTTAAGCCCTTGGAAATTACTTTTTCCCCTTCCACATCCCAGCTTTGAGCACAGTTATCTGATTTGGGATCTCTTTGGTTCTTCAGGGACGAGTTTGGATCACACAGATGGCACCTGGGCTGATTAGGAACCTTCTCCTTGAGCCACCTGTTGCTTTAGGTACGTGTGTATGTGTGGGAAACAGGGGAAGGAAGGAAGGAGGGAGGGATAGAGGGAGAGGGAGGGGGAGGAGAGAGGAGGGGAAGAGAAGAGAGGGATTTGTATTGTCTCCTTCAGTATCTTCAGATTGTCTCTTCCTGGGTTAACTTTATATTGATCTAATTTAAAGTTAGCAGATCAAACTGTGGTTCTGTACTGTTCTATACACGTGACTGAGCTGATTAAATGTGAGCATTCACTCTCCCCACCTGGAGCATAAGCACCTTGAGGCACCTCCCGTGTCACCAGGTCTGTGCTATTAACAGGAAGACCATGAACTGAACATGAAAGGTGAACTTTTTTCCAATTACATATAGTTCCCAGTGGCTCTATATGACATGGGAAGAGTTGAAGGTCGGAGTCTAATTGCCAGAAATCTAGAGGTCAGGCTCCCATTTACCAAAAGAAATTAGCAAGAAGCCCTTTCTCCAAACCCCAGCCCCCAGCCCTGAAGAGAAAGGCCCTACTGATCTACCCAGGACCTTTACTTTGTTTTTATCCCTGCTTCCTTATTTGCATTCCGTAAGGAGGTAGCACAGTCTACAAAGTAACCTCCCTATTTTATTCCACGAATCTAATTGTTATTTCTGTGTTTGTGAAAGATAAAGGATTAGGGCAGCGCTTCACATTACGGTGCCATTTGTAAATGCTTATAATTATTTATGAAATTATCCCACATTTTATAGCATGGAAGATAATAACTTAAGTTGATGTATTAAACATGCATAATCATTATTTTAACAATATTAAATGCACCTCTGTAGAATAATCATTTCATAAATATGAAGAAAGCATTTGGAAATGGCACCTTAATTTAAGACACTACAGGATTCATGGCACCCAAATCCCTGACCCTTTTTTCTTCCAGACAGATGGAGTTTCTTATCTGGCTGCAAATGTTCTTCTTTCTTGAAGTGAAAATGGAATTCTTAAATTAAAAAAATATGTTATCGAGGTAATTTTGGCAACGTAGTGAAGCAGTGGGAGAAGAGATAAGACGGAGGGTTCCGGGACCATAACAAACTGAGGAAACCTTATCTTTGCTTAGTGTCCCCCTCCCCCTTCCCCAACAGGGTATGGAGTCACCAGCCTCTGGAAGCCCTGTCAGAGCTGACTGACGGGAGACAGGCTCATTTGTCCCCTTGAATGCCAGGGCTTGGACTGCTTTGAGCAAAGGGGACCTCAACAAAGAAGGTCCGGAGTTTTCTGCAATGAGAATCCAGGGGGTTATATAATTTGACAAAGAAGGAATGAAACAAGAGGAGAGAAGAGATGCAGGAACCCTGTCATGTGTCATGTTAGCAAAGCAAAGGCAGACAGGCGGTCGCCTGTGGATTGCGCCCTCTGCTGGTCTCTATCAGAATTTCAACAGCTCACATTCAGTTGACATCAGTGATGTACTATGCCTTGCACCAGTATTGAAGACCTAAGAGTTAGGTCCTGGGCTAAATGTTTTATGAGTGTGATACTAATCACCATAAAAATCATGAGATGACCCTTACCCCAATCAGACTGGCTATGATCAAGAGAACAAATGATACCAAATGCTGGTGAGGATGTGGAGAATTGGGAACGCTCATTCACTGCTGGTGGGATTGCAAACTCATGCAACCTCTATGGAAAACAGTGTGGAGAACTCTTAAACTACAAATGAACTTACCATATGAGCTGGTTATACCACTCCTTGGCATATACCCAAAGGACTCATCCTATTGTAGAGACACTTGTACAACCATGTTTGTTGCTGTTCTTTTCACAATAGCTAAGAGATGGAAGAAACCTAAGTAGCCCTCAACTGACGAATGGTTAACAAAAATGTGGTATATTTACACAATGGAATTCTATTCAGCAGTAAACAAAGATGAAATAATGAAATTTGCAGGTAAATGGATGGATCTAGAAACTGTTATACTAAGTGAAGTAACAGACTCAGAAAAACAAACGATGTATGTTCTCCCTCATATGTGGCTCTTAGTGCCAAATCCTTTTAAATTCCAGGTCCCTTTAATAAGATGATTCTATACAGCAGTCCCTTCTGCATGAAATAACTACCATCATCACAACTTCTGCTGAGTCTGATCGCTAAACAGAGTCACAATTGGGCTTGTTGACGGTTGTGCTCATTCATTAAAGGAGGGCCAAGCAGGGTCATTGGACCCTCAACTGAGTATCCAGCCACTCTTCCCAGCCAACTAGTCCAGCCTTGGAAGACAAAAGAAAAATGAGGAGGAACCCAATAGAGGGATGCTTTTGGAAGCCCTTGTCAAGAAATTCCAATGGACTCTCATATGAACATTTGAAAATTGCCCTGTTCTGACTTTTTTCTAGTTCCCTGTCTAGAACTTGTAATGCTAATTACTCTTGCCTTTACTTCTCCTTCACATCCCTATTCATGATTCAAGGATTTTCTTCTCCCCTTAGAGACAAGAGTTATGCAATTTGGGAGTCTTTTAGGTAGACCCACTGAAGGGGTACCCCAATTGCCTCACCCTGTGTCCCTGTTGAGCATAGAAGAAGCCAGAGAGGTCTGCATCCCTGTTCCCTATTGACAATTTGAGTAACCCCTTTAGAAAATGGAGTGACAAAAATAGGAGGTAGGAATTGGCTAGGCAGTCAGGGTAAAAAGGCCCCAAAGAAAAATAGCCAGTTTCTTGACTAAAAGTCAAAATGTCCTTGGGCCTGTTAGCAACATACTCTGTTCCAAGGCCAAAAATGACAAAAGTATTTGGGAGCTTGTATCTAATCCTTAAAAGATTTTAGGGTTAGGTAGCCCTAAAAGAGAAGAGGTTTCAGAGGGGGGAATATTGGAGGGAAGGGAGTGGGCATGGATTTGATCAAAACACCTTATATGCATGTATGAAATTCTCAATAAAGTTTTTGTAAAAATTAAAAAAAAATGTACAAAAGCTCAATTAAAAAAAATCATGAGATGAAGAAACATAGCTCCAGGCAGTTCAAGAACAGATAAACAGCTGATGGTGAGTGGTTGAGTTACCCACCTCTGCTGGATCCAGGAATAAGTGAAGATCTGCCCTTCATTTAAAGATCATGCTCCAAGTTTAGTTTTGTTTTTGTTTTGTTTTTGAGCTCCTGTAGCTTAGGCAGCCTCAGACTTACAACATAGCAGAGGATGGTCTTGAACTCCTGATCCTCCTGCCTCCACCTTCTAACTGCTGGGATTACAGGTGTGTGATGCCACACCTGGCTCTAAGTGTTAATGATTCAGTTTGGCTGTGCATTTCACCTCTGCCTTAAGTCTAGCAATCTTTCCAGCACATGCCCTTAGAAGTTGTATGGGTTCTAGAAATTCATATAAGAATTTAGTATTGGTTTCATGGGTCTGAGTAGTACAAATCATATGGATTCATCTTTTAATTTTTTACTTTCCGCCCAAACCTTGTCATTACTGCCTTCAAAATACATCCAATATACCCATCTTAGTATTAACATCTTGGCTGAGGCATCACGACTGCCTATTTGTGACACTGAAATGTCTCCAACTGGTGTCTCTGCACAGTCTATCCTGAACATAGCATCCAGAGAGAGTTTATTAGAATACAGATTGGATTAGTTTTCTCCTTCTCTATCTCACTCTAGGCAAAAACCCAATAGTTCTATACTGGTCCACAAAATTTAGCCTCTCTGGGTACATCTCCCCTCATGGCACAGGTTATCCTAGCCCCATAGGTTTCCATGGAGTTCCTTAATATGCAGATCAAACTCTGTCTTGGATGAACTTGGTACAGCTGATTCCTCTGTCTAGGATGTTTTTCTCCAAGATAGCCTCATAACATGCTCTGTTATGCTACCTGTTTAGTAAAATACCCTGACCCACTCTACTGGAAATTAATAGGTCTTGCCCTCCATTACTAGTCTTCCTCCCTGTGTGTACAACACTGCCATTTTGTAATACAATACGTGATACTAATATATGATACTTTTTTTTAAAGTCTTTTTGAGACAGGGTCTCCCTGAAGCCCCATCTGGCCTGGAACTCACTATGTAGACCAGGCTGGGTTCAATCTCACAGAGATCCTCCTGCCTCTGTCTTCTGGGATTAAAGATGTGAGGCACCATTCCCAGCTTACAATCTATGACACTCTTACTGGATTGTTTGCCTCTGTCCACTAGAGTGGAAGTCTCTGACAACATAGCTTTTGCCTGCTTGGTATACCGCTTGTACCCTTGCATCTGGGAGATGCCTCACACACTGTGGGTGTTTAACAAATCAGTATTAAATGCAAAAATGGGGACTGAGGGTAGGGTTAGTGATAGAGCACTGACCTGACATGTAAAATGTACCACATACACACACAAATGATGGGCTCCTTCCTTGTCTTCACTTGGTTGGAGGAAGGGTGACCAACTGTTCTGGTTTTCCCAGTACCGAGTGGTTTGGCACTGATAATTCAGCATTGTGGGAAATCCTTTACATTCTAGGAAGCTGGACAGGTCAGCCAGTGATACGAGGGGCAGGCAGAGCATCAGAAAGGACAGCTGTACTAAGGGACTGGGAAACTCAAGGAGGCACCTGCTTCATCCATATTCCCAGAGAATGGTGGTGGGGGCAATAGAACATCTCCGTCTCAGAAGAGCCTTTTGAGTTATGGAAATAGCAGCTTATTATGAGGAAGAAAGTAAGTTTCTATTTCCCTATAAGTAGCGCCAGCATAAAAAATGATAGTGTAATGAAGTTCCAGCAGAACAATTATTTTCCTCAGATGGGCAGTGTACAGCTCCCTCTGCTTACACTCTGCCTTCTCACCCTGTCCCCTCTGCCCCATGGCTGCTGTCTCCACCGGGACTCCCAGATGAGCTGGTCCTCATCTGCCCAAGGACCCCGGCTTCTCCCAACTGTAACTTAGGATTGATACAGGAGTGAGACAGCATCCTCTAGAGGATCCTTAGTCTCATTCATAAAAGAATTTAATAATGTACTCAAACAGAAGCTTTAGGGCAATTTTATTAGAATTTAAAGAAAAATCACCAGAACACACTAGCTGTGAATCTCGGTAGCTGCTTTGAGGAGGAGAATGGAGGGGTGAAGGACAAAAACCAAGATGTTGTGGTGGTTTAGAGCCCACATGGAGGTCAGACACATGGTAGACTAGGCCCCACATGGTCACGAGAAGGAAGCTTTAGAGAAAAAGAAGAAACACAACACTGGGTCAGTGTTAGAGAAAGCAAGCTTGGAAAAGGCATAAAAAGAGGAAAAGGGAAGAGATTATGCTTTTCTGAAGAGTTTAGAAAAGTGAGCCATGTCTGCAACCCAGATCCACAAGAACTGTGCTGAGTCAGGGATTCTGGGTAGGAAAGTTCACCATCTCATTAACACACTAGGTATTCTGCCTGCCTCTTTAGGTAAACCCACCTTCCTAGGGGTGGTCCTACGACCAGGTGATTGATCAGCAGAATTGGATGGAAGGTGGGTCTTTATCCAAGCCACATTCCATTCTGACTAACTTTCTCCCAGGGGACATTTTGCTACTGTCACATTTGGATCTTCATTTTAATTTTTACTATAAAACTTGGGTCTTATATTCAGGGGGCTAAAGCATCCTATGATTGTCAAATTCACTGCAAGATGCCTCCCCAAATTTCTGGAAAGGACTTACTAGGAGGCAAGTTCCCAGCTACATTGTCTACTTGTGACTTCCCTTCTAGGATGCATCTTGAGGACCGGAGCCACCAACTTCTGCACCCCCCCACTGCCCAATTTGTACTTGCTGCTGGACAGTCTTCAGCACTAGCCCTGATTTCATGGCTGGCCTACCCTGGTAGGCATTTCTGATGCTGTCTTTCTTCCAGGCTGGGCCATGTATTGGAGTAGCAGTTCCCATGTTGTTTCTGGGGTGGTTTGGGCACTTAGAGATACAGAGTCACTAAATTCCAAGTGTCTTTGGCCATTGAAGGATAGATTGAATTGTTGGCCAGGACGCCAAGTCCTTAGGACAAAGAACACATGGTGAGGTTTTATTGCACTGTTATCAATTACAGGGTCCTTTAGCAATTGCTGACTGGGATGAACAGAATGAAGAAGCCTATAGTTTTTGTGCTAATTTGTTTGGTGTGGGGTGGACCCCAAGTTTGGGAACCATAGTAATTAGCCCAGCTGCAGAATTGGGCAAGCCTAGCACATGGCTGTCACTAATCCAAGAAGCTGGGCCTGGCACTACTCTAAGAGGCTGGCTTTTATCAGCTGGTAGATGTGATTGTAGCAGTGAGGGCCCTCAGCGTCATGCATACCCCTCATTTGCACATGGTTGTAATGCTCCCTTTCCTCTCCCTTCCCATGCTAAGGGCCCTCAGGCTTTGAGACTCTTCTTGTACATTCCCTTTCCTGTTCTTTATAGCTCAAGGAACGGCTGTTAATTGAATCTGAGGTAGAGGGTTGGGGACAGAATCCTGGGATTTAGGAGGTCAGGTAAGCAGGGATGGCATAGCCTCTGAGTGGTATGGAGGCTTGTTTGATGGAGAGGTGGGGACTTGGTGCTGGATGAACAGGGAAAGCAGAGGAAAGGGAGCTGAGGGGAGAGAGCACCTGCAATTTGCCAAGCCAACCAAAAAATTAAAAAGACAGCTCAACATGAATGCTAAAGATCTA